GTCCAACCCTCACAAAAGGTCGGCTAATTCAAGTTAAACAAGTGTTCATATACTAAGTTAGCTACTTATTTGAACCTCAAGCAGTTCGGCTACAACAAGCTTATTCCACTGTCTTGCGATCGCGTTTGCAGCTTGCAGTTCACGTTTGAACGGCACGAAGGGCCTCCAGCGGTAAGTGACTTAAGGTAAGGTTTTTTGCCACTAAAAATTGTACAGCCTCGCGTTTAAAGGCACGAAATAGCTTTTTATATCCGTCTGGGATGTGTTTATTGGATTTTTGAACTCAAATCATTGAATTATTCCAGGTTTTCGGGCAATAAAAGTGACGTACTTCGACTTGATGAAAAAAAAAAAAACAAAACATGGCGGCACTAAACAACAAATGAACGCCTTGCTAAAATTTGAAATCTTAGCAATGTGATATGAATTTGGTTCCAGTGTCTCAGACTAATGGTTAAGGCCGAATAACCTTCGAAAATAACAGGGGTTGAAAATATGATTTAAGAAATAATAAATCCCTGTCATCAGGCTCCAACTTCAAGTAGATATCTTAGGCCCGGTTCAGACGCCGTAATGAGCCTAATACATTGAACCTAATACATTGAATTTCGGCATCTGAATCAACTAGTAGCGCCTGTTTCAATTTGGAACATCTCAGCCGTTCTTTCCGCCTAGCCGGGCCGGGAATTTGGCATTTGGATCGACTTTGGAACGCCTTTGATTCAGACGCCGAACTTTTCATGTACTGAACCTAATGCAGAAATTCTTGTAACATATTTTATTAGCAGTTTGACCGAAATGAGAATTGTTCTCCTGTCTGAATTCAATTGTTCTCCTGTCTCAATTCAGCCGGTCTAAATAATCTGAGTCGGTTTTAATTCGAATTAGGTTCGGCTCATGAAAAGTACGGCGCCTAAATGTGCTACAGCCGATTTTTTAAACACTGTATCACCGCCTTGTGATGGTCTTTGAATAAACCAGAAGCGCGACAATCAGTAAGCTGTCCTAGGAAACTACCGGTTCGTAGGCAAACTACATCCTAATGCAGAACTAATCTAACATTTTTCGGAAACAAATCGGCTAGAGACATTTACCCTTCGGAATCAGCAATGCTATGTGGTTGCTTCGATACAGCATTTATTAAACAGCTTCCCTGTGCGGCCGCACTTGTTCTTTGCGACCTGAACAACAAATTGTATTCTCGTATAAACTCTTGGATGTAAAAAGAGGTCTAAGAAAATTGTTACCGTTCCACTGCTGGAATTATTCAAAGCAGACAGCAACACAGCAAATCCGTCATCCTGAACAACTTACCCCCCTTTATGCAAATTTCCGTAAAGAAGTTGATGCGTAACACCGCAATTAGCTATTATTTTCATAAATTTTCTTTGCGACCTGAATAACAAATTGTATTCTCGTATAAACGTTTGGATGTAAAAAGAGGTCTAAGAAAATTGTTACCGTTCCACTGCTGGAATTATTCAAAGCAGACAGCAACACAGCAAATCCGTCAGCCTGAACAACTAGCGTCCTTATGCAAATTTCCGTAAAGAATTTGATGCGTAACACCGCAGTTAGCTATTATTTTCATAAACAAAGGCTTGCATGGTATAGGGTGTTACCATTCACCATATCTTGATACAGACCTACAGATCGTTTTCACTATCACGCAACAAAAAAATAAATTGGAAACCGTCCAGTAGAAGAAGGCAAGAAAAGGAAATGTTATAAAAGACTAATATAAAAACAATTTGTCCAAGTCCCAGGTCTTTGTGGCCCAGAGTTTCTGAGTTGTTTGCCAAAACGTTTCACGCATCTTTGCAGAGCATTGTGCGGAGACGCCATATTGGTGTACCGTTTTGGTGCACCAATATGGCCGCCGGAAATCAACAAAAACATCTGGAGTACAGGTATCACTGGTACTGGAGGAAAGCTCAGCACATCTAACAAAACGCCATCAGGCATAGGAACAATACAACGTTTCCGTCAAAAGCACTCAGCGCGTCCTGCTAACTAGTTAGCAATGACAGTCAGAGTTTAGTTTGTTCCTCGGAATGCAAGAGATACGGCTACAAGGAAGCTTGCGTTCGTTTGTCGAAAGTCCCCGGAAAACGTTTTTTTTTTTTTCACCCAAAAAGTCTCTCCAAAGTTTCCCGTAAAGGTCTTCATGTGTTTTTCTTTAACGCACCGATTTTTCGGACCCGAAAATGAGGACGTAATTTTAACTCCGATAATTCTCGGGTGCTCAATGAGAGATCCTAAAAACTTTCGAGAGACTTTTCAGCCGGCAAAATTAGTCCTTGTGAGCATTGACTGACTAAAAGTGCGGAAAGCTTACAGAAGTCAGGCTTCACTTTTTAAAAAACAGACAATGCAGACAATCCTTCTCAAACAGACGGACAGTGAAATTAACTTTGACGTTGTGGATAACAAAAAAAGAAACCGCATGATAAGACGACTAATATATTCAGGCTTCTAGATTTGTTTTTATAACCCCTACTAGTTTTGAGGTACTTTAGGCAATTACATAATCTCGTTCAAATGGCATCTTCGAATCACTTTTATTGTAGCAATTTTGAACCAAAAAAGAAGTCATTATTTTACTCGCTTCTTTCTGCAACGTGTCGGTAAGCTTAAACAGAAGCTAAATTTTTAACAGGTCCCTGAATTTTTGTAAAAATATATGCATATATATAGACCAGTAGGTGAACTACTCAAATCCTGAGTGCATGGGTGTTTAATACAAGCCTGTTTCGTAGGCCACCGAAAAGGTGACCCACTCTTCAGTTAAACTCCATTATAACACTGAAGCGTCAGGGTCTACATCAAGAAAAGTGATCGCGTGATAAAAACGGTTACATATAACGTTTGAAATTTAAATTTAAAAAAAAAATTATAAAATGAAAAGCGCGCGCTTGCTCTCAATCGCCTACAACTCTTATACGAAACCTTAGTCACACGAAAGCTCGCGCTACAATCTCTGGCTTTCACATGTTCGATTGTACCTTAGAATGAACTTGCGGCGATGTCTGGCTTTCACATGTTCGATTGTACCTTAGAATGAACATATAAACAAAACTAAAGGTTTAGTGATAATAATGCCTATCACAACAGTTACGAAACCACGGTAACTGCGTTTTGCTTCCCCTTGTTAACAATCAATATACAGCTATTTCAAGAAAGGTTGTCAGGAAAAATGTGCACGCGAGAATCCCGAAAGGTAATATGGGATATGATTAATACACTGTTCCTAACGACTGCAGCTGTCGAAAATACTTTTGTTGCTTTTCATTAGCACTCGCAAACATATGTCTGTAAAGTGAATTCGCCATAGAACACAGACAACACACATTTTTCAACAACATATTGACACCTTCCTCTTCTTCAACAGTTATCCATTTCATCCCTACTTTGCAATTCACTCGGATCAAAAACATCCAACTCGTCCTAACATGAGATCAGGCCCAATTTTAGCTGTTCTCATACATTCTCTCTAACGGCTTCCGCTAAAATTGGGCCTGATGCAAACTCTCACAAGTTTGTGCTCACTGCGACAAGATTTTGGCGGCAACACTGATTAACTGTTAGAACAATGCACAAGATCTGATTAGCTGTTAGAATCAACGGAAATTGAAAGCGCTTATTCCTCGAGTGGTTGTTTTCGTGAATGATCCACCATCGGCGGAGAGAAGGATCGATTTTGCTGTATTTTTTATTGTTTTATCGTCTTATGGCAGGATATGTCTTATTATTTTTTTCCAAGCTTACAAGCGGGCGGAATGCTCCAAATCCTGCAATCTGATTGGTTCCGAGAGCGGGCGGTATTTTACGATCTTGCCCGCTAACCCGGGCGGAATCGTTGGCAGCTTCATTCACAAGTTTGTTTGTTGTTTGTGAATGAGCAAAACCCGTCATTTTCAAACCATTTTTCTTTTAAAACTTGCGCTATTATTAGCATTAGCTAGGGAAATTGCTACATGATGCAAAGTCGTTTCAAGAATCTCACGCTTTTAAATATTGCCGGTCAAAAGATTCAATGATCCTCCTCGGCAAGACTGACAATTCTCGAATTTACAAGCTGCGAAACTTGGAAGATCTAGAAGAACTTCTTCTAAGCCTCAACCGTCCTATAGAAGAAGAATAATAAGTACTATTATGCTCTTCGCTATAACACTTGAAAATCTATAATGGCAGGTGAAAAGACAATTACTACAAGCAAACGCGAAATCTCTGAGCGAAAAATTTTAATCAAAGAACTGCCTTATTATAATTATACAGGAAGTCTTATAATGCTTTATGGCCAGTTTAATAATAGTCTAATGGACAAACACCAGCTAACAAAATATGAGTTAAAAATTTGCCCAGCCTCTATGATATTAATTTATTTGACCTTAATACTATATTAGATTCAAACATTAGCCCTTATGAAAACTTACACAACAATTAAATAAAAAGTAGAAATTTTTCTCCTCATGCTTTTCACCACGCCAAATCCACATGGCCAGATAATTGCTTTTCTTTATTTCATAATAACATAACTAGCTTGAATCAGAACCTAGAAAATTTACAAACACATATTTTAGAAGAAACTGATTTTCACTTCGATCTTATAGGAATCCCTGAGACGAAAATTACCAATGCAAATTTAGAAACTTCATCATTTAATATTTCGGGATATAGATTTGAATTCGCGCCGACGCCTCTATAGCCTTTGGAGGCGTTGGTCTTTTCATAGAAAAACAATATAACTACCGCGTTATTTAAAAAACTGCTCAGTAATAATGAATTCCAAGCGTTGTGGATAGAAATATCTTTTGTCAAGAAAAAAAAAATTATATGCGCTATTATGTATAGCAGCACAACAATCCAGATCGTTCTTGCAATATTTTGAAGAATCAGTTGAAAAATATTAGGCCACAGGAAAGCAACTTTGTATCCTAGGAGACTATAACCTCGATCTTTTGAAAATTGAAAGCTCAAAATATAGTCATGACTTTCTAATGTGCCTTCAAAGCTGCTATCTCATTCAAACAATGGAGTTCTCCACTAATAATTCTAGTCTAAGAGCTCCGTCCTATCCCAAACCAATTGTTGCTCGTTTCAGTCATCATCAAGACAAAGATTATGTTCGCTCCTTATGTAAGAACTTAAAAGGAACCAACATCGGTTTCTCAGATGATTTCCCGAAAGAAATTGAAGAAATTCGTAGAAAACTTTATCCAGTGCTTAAAAAGGCCAAGCAGGACAAGCAAAAAGTCTTCTTTAATTTTGATAAATTGATTATCAACGGCCAAATATACAGAGGAAAAGAAATTAAAGACCTTCCCTATTATTGTAAAATGGCAAAAAATTATTGATGCTCTAATTCCATGATCGGTTTCAAACTGAACAGTGAATCCACGTCCACTAGATGTTAAGAGTGGTTGCCAGAGAAAACCGGGCAAAATGTTAAAAATGTCAACGAAAGGGGGTCAACAGAATAAGTTCCTACTAACATCACAGATAGGTCTGGTCGAGTAATGGACAAATATGCCAAACATAGGTTCTTCACTGCTCTTTTATTAGAGATACGAGCATCACTTTATTCGACCCCCTCGGACGCCATTTTTATAAGCAAATTTTCACCATTTTCTGAAACTCACAGAACCCTCAAAATTTAACAAACGAAGTTTATTTCTTGTATGCGAAACAAGACATTACAGAACTACTTTCTAAAACCATAAGATTTGTTACGTAGCCACGGACAATATTAAAATTTTCTTATTTTATCTGACCTAAACCCAGTGTCTGCAAACGAGCAAAAACTTTGGGCATAATTGAATTGATCTACAGCGCACAACAAAAACGACAGAACAACTCTCACAGCCAAATTGCAGTCTACTATCATCCATGTAGCCAAAACACTAATAATCATTTTGGGCCATTGAAACAGGAAGAAATTAGAAAAATCACATTTGTTATAGTTTCCAAGCTTTTTCTTGCAAACAGGCCCATCCCTTCGTGTTTGTTTTAAGTCCTCTTCGTGAATTTTCTTTCATATTTCGCTGTAAAGTATGTTCAGCAGCTGGAGGACATATCAAAAAGCTCAAAATACTACCTAGGTTACATTTTGAAATCGCAAAAAGTGCTGAACGATAGGATGAAACTAGAAAATAACAAAGCGACGCCATCTTGAAAATTCAGCACTCAGGAGGGACTGACACTAGTAGCTGCCTTGTACACAATTACCAAATAGATAAAAAACAAAAACAAACAAACAGGCTTATCAGCGACCTATTACAGTCCTATTTCTTCTTCAATTACTACTTTTAGTTAAATTTAGCTTGTTTTGTGTCGTCGTTTTTTTTTTGTTGGAGGAGTGATGGGGTGTGGTGAACAGGTGACCAATTGGCATTACTTTATTCAGTCTTCATTTGCTCTTCATTCACTTCATTTTGTTAACCCATATAAGTCTTAAGGATTAACAGACGAAATGGCGTCGGAAATACTGCTCGTGGCAGATGAATAAATTCCATTTCTGTCATCATTGCCTCCAGTGAATTTAAGGCAAGACCTTGACAATTACTCTTAATGTGAGGACTGTGAACGTGATTCTGCATGCTTTAATATGTTAAACACCGTAGTGAGAGTGTTTTTGACAAATCCTGTGACGACTGAGATGTTACAGTAGGAGATGTCAATTATTTCACGGCTACACCAGTAAAAAAAAAGGAACCCAGTGGCTGTAAACTTCCAGGTGTACGACTTCTACCAATGATCATTATGACGGAAAAGGTACCAACTCGAGTTAACACTATGACCCCTTTTACAAATTTTTGAACGACCAAAAACTTGAGGCAGAAAAAAATGAAAAAAAATGGCGGAAGACGCAGAGAGCAATATTGCTATTCGTTTTGTCGACGAAAACGACTAAAGAGAGATTTCTGCTAGAACTGTGTCAGCGAAACGGAAATTAAAAAAGAATCGCCCCTCCTCTCTTGTATAGAGCTAAAAGTACAGCAGGGAAATCCTTAACACAGTGAATATTCTCTCAGGATCATTTATAATTTACAGTTTGAAGAGAGCAATTTCTGGTTTGATATTTGTTCTTTTATTAGTCTTTTATTATTCAACAAAAATAACAGTTGGTGTCCTATAATAATAATAATAAATATAATTTAATAACTTCTAGAGCGCTATTTACATTCACTGATCAACAGCGCTTAACAACTTAAAAAAACTACAATAAAATTCAAATTTGTAAAACTAATTACATTTACATGAATATTACTTGCTACTTGCTTTATTGTACAAACGACAGGTTTCAATAGACCGGCGAAATTTCCCATTTTATTAAAGCACTGAGGTTACGATAACTTCGAGTTAAACTGATTTCACGGGTTGTCAAAGAGTCGAACGATTCCCTTTTCCCAGGTGAGCGCCGACTCATTTCGCTTCAATATTCAGAAATGCGCTCGATCTCTTTACGCTTTCATTGCCTTTCGCCCGACATGTTTTGCATGGCGTTTAGTCATGCGAAACCTCCACGAAACATCCACGCAGCGCGAGAGGGAACTTTATCCCGATTCTAAAAATAACTCGAGACGAATTACCTATGGAATAGGGTGTATATGGGGGATGCCCTCTCTGTCCCCTTTATCCTCTCTTGGGTAAACCCTATGAATGGTTTTTTTTTTTACAGCTCTTGTCAACAGTCTATTACCTTATGGAAATGCGAAGTGGCAGCGATGAGATCATCAGTTAGAAGGCTTACTTTCAAAAATTTTTTCGTCCGCTGTCTTGGCCGCTTTGCGGCCTAAAATGCCCGCTCCACACGCTGATTCAACTGTTTATTTTAATAAACAGTTGTTAATAAAAATTATTGCAAATTTTACAGCAAGCAATATCCACTGCCCGTTGCTCTGGCCCTCGCGCTTAGAAACTAGCGAGGTTGATATATAGCAAGTCTAGCTAGCTTGCATGAGAGCGAAGTTAAGTGATTCATATAGAGACAAAATAGATCTTTAATATTATCTACATTCACCGGACACCTCGAAATGAGGAGGGAATGAAGGAATGCCAGTTAATCACCAATTAACCTGCGATCAGGCGTTCTTCTTGTTTTTTGCTTTGAAAGAAAAACAAGCTAAATTCAACTAAAAGAAGTAATTGAAGAAGAAATAAGACTGGAGTAGGTCGCTGATAAGCTGGTCTGTTTGTTTGTTTGTTTGTTTTTTTTTTATCTTATTGGTAATTACAGGAGCCCATAGGCTCCTGGTAAAAGTTCGTAATAGCCAACGTTCGATAAAGAAAAATTCTAACATGAATCCGAGGCTTTCTGGTTACATTTCTATATTAGGTTTGGTTTTCTATGTGCTCAAGTCTCTTTTTGTCCGTATGTTAGATATCGAACGCTGCTACTAGTGCCAGTCCCTCCTGAGTGCTGAATTTTCAAGATGGCGTCGCTTTGTTATTTTCTAGTTTCATCCTATCGTTCAGCACTTTTTGCCCTTTCAAAATGCAACCTAGGTAGTATTTAGAGCTTTTTGATATGTCCTCCAGCTGCTGAACATACTTTACAGCGAAATATGAAGGAAAATTCACGAAGAGGACTTAAAACAAACAAGAAGGGATCGGCCTGTTTGCAAGAAAAAGCTTGGAAACTATAACAAATGTGAGTTTTCTAATTTCTTCCTGTTTCAATGGCCCAAAATGATTATTAGTGTTTTGGTTACATGGATGATAGTAGACTGCAATTTGGCTGTGAGAGTGTTTCTGTCGTTTTAGTTGTGCGCTGTACATCAATTCAAAAATGCCCGATTTTTTGCTCGTTTGCAGACACTGGGTGTAGGTCAGATAAAATAAGACAATTTTAATCTAGTCCGTGGCTAGTTAACAAATCTTATGGTTTTAGAAAGTAGTTCTGTGATGTCTTGTATCGCATACGAAAAATAAACTTCGATTGTTGAATTTTGAGGGTTCTGTGAGTTTCAGAAAATGGTGAAAATTTGCTTACAAAAATGGCGTCCGAGCGGGTCGAATAAAGTGATGCTCGAACCTCTAATACAAGAGCAGTGAAGAACCTATGTTTGGTATATTTGTCCATTAGTCTACAAGACCTATCGGTGATGTTAGTATGAACTTATTCTGTTGACCCCCGTCCGTTGACATTTTTAACATTTTGCCCGGTTTTCTCTTACAACCACTCTTAAGAATTTTGTGTTCTGTTTTGGTTCTGTTTTGTTTTACTGTTTTCTCAGTTGGAGGAGAAAATGTCTTTTGAGTCACTCTTTTTGAATTCTTCGGTTAAACATCGGAAAGTACTAATCCCAAACAATATATACATTTTTATAAAACACAACTTAAATTGCAGATTTATTTAAATTAGTTTCTGTAAACGTAAGGGGCATATGCAATTTTCATAAAAGAAGAACTATGTTCACCTGGTGCTGTAAAAGAAAAGCTGACGTAATATTCCTGCAAGAAACGCATTCAAAAGAGGATTCAGAAAAACAATGGGCAAATGAATGGGGTGGTAAATCATTTTTCTCACATGGTAGTCCAAATTCATGTGGGGTTGCGATATTGATTAGGAATAATTTTAATTGTGTTATCCAAAAATCCATTGTTGATCCCCAGGGAAGATTTATCATTTTGAAGGCAGGCATTCAGGATAGAGTGTACATTTTAGTTAATATTTTACCGCCAAACAAAGACAAGGTCAGCGGCAAATTTTATAAAAACCTACATACAGTGTTACAGCAGAAGACTTAGATTGTAAAGAAAATATAATCATTGGAGGGGATTTTAAGTGTCCTCTTGACCCTAAGCTGGATAAGAAAGGTGGCGTTATGGTTCCTAGGAAAATGGTTATAGATAATATTGAATGTTTACAAAATGAATTGGACCTTGTCGTCGTCTGGGGAATTAAAAATCCACAAGCTAGAAGTTACACTTGGAGCCAAAAATCTACATCAATTTTCTGTCGTTTAGATTACCGGCTGATATCAAACAACTTGCAGGATTTTGTAAATACAACCGATGTCATTCCAGCTATAAAAACTGATCTTGCAGTAATTGAGTTGAATCTAACCGACTCCGATCAAAACTCAAAGGGGCCCGGTTTCTGGAAAATGAACGTCTCTCTTCTCGAAGATCCGAATTATCTGGAAGTATTAAAACAAAATATTCCACTTTGGAAAACAACAGGAAGTGATAATGTATCAGACAAAAGGTGCATCTGGGATTGGCTTAAGTATAATATTCGGAACCATTATTTTGTTCTCGAAAAAGAAAGCGAAAGAACGATCTGCTATGGAAAAAAACT